TACATTGATTTAGGTTGATTTTTGGCTAAAAATGGAGGGAAACAGTTCAAWTTGCTTTATTTTTACCTAAAATTTTAATTTAAGCAATTGTTTTAATAATATACAGTATGATGAAAAAAAGGCGCCCGTGTTAACCCACACGTTATAAGTGATCTTTTATTAAAGACGAATTCGAAGACCACAATTGGATTTGTGCTCTTATCAGTAAGATATAGACTTTCCTTTTTAGAAAAGAGAAATCTATATAATTAACAGTTTTAAAATAATTTCATTGTTAAAGTCTAGATTTTGATACTGTTGACGGTGTTCTTAAAAAATTGTGTAAAAAGTCTATTAAAATAAACTTTATTGAAGATGTTAGGATACCATTTCTTGGCTCCAAAGAAAATTTAACAATGTTGCAACATTGCAAATATCCTAGGATACAGAAAATGTCCAAGTAATATTCAATTATTGGAAACGGTAGCAACAAAAAAATCAATTTTCAATGTTGTTTGTTCTGTGAAATTTGAACGATTAAAGTCAAAAAGGTTTCCTGGATACGAAAAATACCTGAGTGAAATAGCTTTTTAGTAAAAGAAATTTGTGCAATATTGCCGCTTTGTGCTGTTAGACAAACTGTTTAAATTTTAAAAAGAATCTATTTAGACTATTTTTGGATTGATGGTCACAATGTTTCAATAAAAAAGGACACGCCTGTTTCAATCGTGGGCGCCTTGTTTTCATCACCCTGTATATTGATTTAGAATAATTTCTGTTAAAATCAAGCAAAATTTGATTAGAAATAGCTCAAATTGCTTTATTTTGAAAGAAAATTGTTATTTAAGCCTTCATTTTGTTGAAATACATTCATTTAGATTGATTTCTGGCTTCAAATCGAGCTGAATCTATTGAACATAGCACAAAATGCTGTATATTGACAGAAAGCGATTTTTAAGGAATTTTTTTTATAAAATACATTAAATTTCGAATGATTTCTGGGTTAAAATCGAGCAAAATTCGATTAGAAATATTGCTTTATTTTGGCAGAAAGCTGTTATTTAAGCATTTAGTTTGTTGGAATACATGGATTCAAGTTGATTTCTGGTTTAAAATTGAGCCAAATCGATAAAAAACACCTACCACAAATTTTGTCATTTTGGCCTAAAAGTGGAATTAAAGCAATTATTTTTATACAATGATTTCTGGTTAAAATCGAGCAAAATTGCATTGAAAACAGCTCAGAATGCTTTATTTTGTCAGAAAACTATTATTTAAGCATTTTGTTGAAATACATTGATTTAGGTTGATTTCTGTCTTAAAATTGAGCCAAATCGATTAAAAATAGCACAAATTAAATGTTATTTGTTGTTGACAGCGTCTCACTCGAGACAACTGAATTATTAATTATTCCGCACCAACAGTAATTTACAATTTTTTGCATTTAACTGCAAGTTATGGCTTCTTGCTTAACACCCCGAATCACGCTTCAATTTATTCACGAAGCTCATAAATTGCTCTAAAATGGTGATTTTACAATGTTGTGCATATTTTTCCCCCACGTCAAACATCAATTACCGAGATAAAGTCGTCTTTAACAGCACAGAAAATGTGAATGTTGGCCGTTGGAAAAAGGATTATTCCACTTGCCGCAGGGAACTGAAAGCATGTAACAAAAGGACTGTAGCAGGTTTTTTGATTTCATTCGAAGAAGTGATTTCTTACAATTAATAGAACGCCAAAGGGAATAACGAACTTTTTGTTTGATTGCGGTAAAAACATGCTGTATTTCAGCGCGTTTCACTAGATGTGGAATATATTCACTTTGAAAAAATGGCATTAATCAAGTAAAAGGTTGAGTGGGTGTGTACTTTCAGGATGCAAATAGTTTTTTGCAATCAGCTCTGATTCATCTTCCCCTTTTGTTTTAATTGTAAAGAGATCTTTGACATGAAAATCGGCGACCAGATTCTGAAAATTCATTTATTTCTTGGATCGTTTATCATGAAGTTGTTGTGCATATGTGGGTAATCAAAACGTCCGTCGAGTATAAAATCCTTGACTGTAATAATACAGTTGTGAATATTTGGATGCGTTTCAGATTTTTATTTTATTTTACTTAAAAAATACTACATAGAAAGTGTATACAATTGTGATGTCAGTGCAATTTTAACAATAGCGACTGTTCATTTTCGTCAAGGGAAAGTGACGTACTTTGCATATTTCTTTATCTTAATAATCGTCTACAATGATAGCAGAAATGATTAACTGTGTTAAATAGGCCTCGCTTAAAAATGATTCCCGTGAGTTTGCAAGCTAATTTCATATTTATGAATTAGCCTCTACTGAAAGTGTGAGAATACCTCCGAAAATTTAACACGACAATTAATTTATAACCATAACTCGTCTGATGTGAGTTACTGTAAAAACTAGTTCCCATCGTAGAATCGTTGACTGTTAGCAGCTATCCCAATTATGATCAATTAAGTTATTATGTTCTAAAGCACATTTCAAATGACATAATTTATTATCGAAAGTACTTATTATCGTGCTTCTTCATCTGATAGATGGACTTCTTACCATCAAATAAATTAAATTCTTTGAAAAGAAGTCTGAGGGAACAATTTTTTCGACGCACTTCAAGAAATCAAATCGATATCATTTTTGCATCAGATTTAAGTGATTGAGTGTGAAAAGTATGTTCGGATACCTACTGAATATTTTTACGTTTTTTGCCAAAGATACAACAAAAATATAATTTTGCATCACTGTATTTTAGATAATAGATATTAATTTATAACAATACCGACATTTCTCATTTTAAAAACAGCTCTAATGGACGAATATCACATAAGGACATTTTTTCATGTCTAGAAAAGGGTTATAAATCTATATTTTGATTCATAACTGCAATTTTGTCTAATGCACTTTTTACAACCTGCAGTTCAAAGCCGAGACAGAAGCTAATGTCTCTAACAATAAAATTTACTATTTTAATATCAAGTTTTAGTGTTAATGTTACAAGTTTAGTACTTAAATAAAGTCTAATTAGTCGTCTTTCTTGCGATTATGATGTGATTCAAAGCAATCTGAAACTACCCAAAGCATTGATTTGGAATGATTTGTGTTAAAATCGAGCAAAATTGGATTGGAAGTAGCTCCAATTGCTTTATTTTGACAGAAAACTGTTATTTAAGCATTTACTTTTTATTTTATTGAAATACATTGATTCAGGTTGATTTCTAGGTAAAAATTGACCCAAATTGATTGGAAATAGTACAAATTGCTTTATTTTTGCTTAAAATTTTAATCTAAGCCATTGTTTTAATAATATACATTGATTTAGAATAATTTCAGTCTTAAAACCAAAGCAAAATTTGATTAGAAACAGCCCAAATTGGTTTATTTTGAAAGAAAATTGTTATTTAAGCATTTATTTTGTTGAAATACATTGATTTCTTGCTTAAAATGGAGCTAAATCTATTGAAAATAACACAAATTGCTGTATATTGACAGAAAACTATTATTTAAGGAATTAGTTTTATAAAATACATTAAATTTAGAATGATTTCTGGGTTAAAATCTAGCAAAATAGGATTGGAAATATCACCAATTGCTTTATTTTGGCAGAAAACTGTTATTTAAGCATTTAGTTTGTTGAAATACATGGATTCAGGTTGATTTCTGGCTTAAAATTAAGCTAAATTGTTTGGAAATAGCACAAATTGTTTCATTTTGGTCTAATATTAGAATTTAAGCAATAATTTTTATAAAAAACATTGATTACAAATGATTTCTGTGTCAAATTCGAGCACAATCGAGTTAAAAATTGCTCAAATTGCTTTGTTTTGGCAAAAAACTTTATTTTGTTAAAAAACATTGATTCAGGTTGATTTCTGGTTTAAAATTGAGCCAAATCGATTAAAAATACCACAAATTGTGTCATTTTGGCCTAAAATTGGAATTAAAGCAATTATTTTTATAAAACGCATTGATTTAGAATGATTTCTGTGTTAAAATCGAGCAAAATTGGATTGAAAATAGCTCATATTGCTTTATTTTAGCAGAAAACTATTATTTAAGCACTTATTTTGTTGAAATACATTGATTCAGGTTAATTTCTGGCTTAAAATTGGGCTAAATCGATTGGAAATTGCATTATTTTGGTCTAATATTAAAATTTAAGCAATAATTTTTATAAAATACATTGATTAAAAACCATTTCTGTGTCAAAATCGGATTAAAAATTGCTCAAATTGCTTTGTTTTGGTAAAAAACTTTATTTTGTTAAAAAACATTAATTCAGGTTGATTTCTGGTTTAAAATTGAGCCAAATCGATTAAAAATACCACAAATTGTGTCATTTTGAACTAAAATTGGAATTAAAGCAATTATTTTTATAAAATGCATTGATTTTAGAATGATTTCTGTGTTAAAATTGAGCAAAATTGATTTGAAAATGGCTCAGATTGCTTTATTCTGGCAGGAAACTATTATTTAAGCACTTATTTTGTTGAAATACATTGATTTAGGTTGATTTCTGGCTTAAAATTGAGCCAAATCGATTAAAAATAGCACAAATTGCTTCATTTTGGCCTAAAATTAAAAAACGAACTTTGTTATGTTTTTTTCTGCAAATTTAGAAGCAGAAAACCATACGTTTATTGTTTTTTTTTTAATGTAACACTAATATAAATAAATCTTATTCGGATAGCCCTTGAGACTTTAACTTTTTTCGGTAGTGTTCATAAAAATCGTTTTTTCAGCTTTGGCTTAATGCAAAAACATCTTAGCTGTGTTTAAGTGCCCTACTTATTATTTGGCCTACAAAACGCAAATGTTTAATTAAGACTTTTGATAAACTTATTTACACTGAAACCCACAAGAAAGATAATTTCTGTGTGAGTTCCCAGCATCATTAGCGATTGTGTCTGTTTCCTATGCATCATAGATGTGTTTTTTATCCTTGATACCTTGGGAATGTCGAAATAAAATTAACCATTAAGTTATTGTTGTTGCAGCACGTGTGGTCAAGGAGCATCCAAAGGACGTCGTCGACGGCAGCGGTGATTCGGACTTGTTGCAGCTGGTGCGTCGTCTTTCTTCGAGCGATCATGTGAAGATGGGGGCCAACGTTAGCCGTCACTCGTCGAAGGGTTTATCCGGACGACGGTCTCAATCCAGTGGCAGCATATGCAACGGAAAGGGGAGACACAACGACGGCAAGATGTGTGGCAGCCTTCCTAGTTACTTGGACGACCGCAACTCCACCGGCTGCAATAACAACCATCACGAGTGCGAGAAGCCGCCCCTTGATGAGGTTTGTTCTTCATGCATTATTCACCGACAACCTGCGGTTACTCTGACATTGTCTTGATCTTAAAATTTTATTTTTTGGTAAACGAATTTGAGCTTTTATAAATTACTAGATGTTGCCCGCGGCTTCGCACGATTTCAAAACGCAGAAGGGCTAAGAAACTTACTAACAAAAAGTAACAACACATAATTTATTTTGAACCTCGTAAAAAAATAAAAAGTCTGTCTTTTATAATTTATTTAAAGACTGCAAAATTTCAAGTCTTTAATCTCAAACAATAATGATTTCCACACAAACTTTAACACCCCATTCTTAGCTTGCTTTGCTTCGGTGGATAGAAGTCGATATACAGGGTGCACCAGAACTCGTGCCCCAGAGATAAATGTAAGATACCAGGAACATGGAAAAAATATTTAAAAAATTTTATATATAAAAATTTTGAAGTTATGAGGGTTTAAATTTTGCACTTTGACTCTATTTATTTTTGTTGGAAAAATAATTTTCCAAGTTTTTTTGCTATAGGCTATTAAAAGAGGAAACAAGAAAGCTGTATCCTAAATTGTAACTCTGTTTAATGTTATTTGTGGCTTTTATTGGCAAAATTTTTGTACCTTTACTATGTAGTTGTAAAAAAAAACATATACAAGATCATCAGTATCACTAAATAGACATAAAAAAATGTAAAATGTCAAAAAATAAATGTCAAAATTTTTTTCATGTTCCTGGTATCTCACCTTACTTGAAAATTTTGTCTGGGCGCGAGTTCTGGCTCACCCTGTATGCGGTTTGATTACGCCGTTTATGCATAAATTTTCTACGACCATATCAGCAAGGATAAACCACAACACCGTATAAAAATCTGTTGTTGACTTGAAGGGATATAACTTCAAAAATAACAAATTTTAATACAAACTGTCATCCCCTATTTAACCTTTTTGGGGGTGGGGTTTTCAGAAATCCTAAAACATGCTTTTCTTTATTTTTAATAGAAAGCCCCAATACCAATTTTTCTGGATGTAATATCAAAGTGGACGAATTTTCATGGATATTACTTAACAATGACAAATTTTGATACAAAATTTCATCCCCTAGAAATGGAAATGGAATTTTGTAAAATCCTGAAACACGTGTTTTTTGGTTTTTAGTTTTTAGTCCAAATACCAATGTTCATGGAATTAACTTAAAAAAAATACGAATATTTTACGAAATTTTACCATTGTTTAACCCTGTTGGGGGTGAAATTTCCAAAAATTCTGAAACACGTATTACTTCATTTTTAACCGAATGCCTAAATACCAATTTTCAAGGATTTAACGTTAAAAATGACAAATTTTAATATAAACTGTCATCCCTGTTTAACTCCCTTGGAGGTGGAATTTTCAAAAATCCTAAAACACCTTTTCTTCATTTTTAACCGAAAGTCTAAATCCCAATTTTCATAAATATGACTTCAAGAATAACGAATTTATAAATATTTATACAAGTTTTCATCCCCTGTTTGCCCTCTTTGGGGATGCAATTTTCCAAAATCTTGAAACACATGTTTTTTTGTTTTGAACTGAAAGCCCAAATACCAATTTTCATGGATTTAACTTTAAAAAAAAATGGATATTTTACTACCATTTACCCTTGTTCAACCCCCTTGGGGGTGGAATTTCCAATTTTTAACCGAAAATCTAAAGGCCAATTTTTGTGGATACAACTTTAAATTTTCAAATTCACCTCTCCATTTAACCCCCTTAGGGGTTGATTTTCCAAAAATTCTTTCTTTGTGGATGCCGACATTTCAAAAGGTATCTAATGTGAAAATTTCAAAATATACAGTATGATGAAAAAAAGGCGCCCGTGTTAACCCACACGTTATAAGTGATCTTTTATTAAAGACGAATTCGAAGACCAAAAGTGGATTTGTGTTCTTATCAGTAAGATATAGACTTTCCTTTTTAGAAAAGAGAAATCAATATAATGACCAGTTTTAAAATAATTTCATTGTTAAAGTCAAGATTTTGATACAGTTGACGGTGTTCTTAAAAAAAATGTGTATAAAGTCTATTGAAATAAACTTAGAAGATGTTAGGATACCATTTCTTGGCTCCAAAGAAAATTTATCAATGTTGCAACATTGCAAATATCCTAGGATACAGAAAATGTCCAATTAATATTCAATTATTGGAAACGGTAGCAACAAAAAAATCAATTTTCAATGTTGTTTGTTCTGTGAAATTTGAACGATTAAAGTCAAAAAGTCAAAGATTAAAACTAATTGAAATCATTAGATATCTCTTGGTCGTATCGTATTGGAATAATAAAATTATGTAAAGTTTACAGTTTTTTTATTTTATGCGGGTGACAATATCTTTCCTAGATACGAAAAATACCTGAGTGAAACAGTTTTTTAGTAAAAGAAAATTGTGCAATATTGCCGCTTTGTGCTGTTAGACAAACTGTTTAAATTTTAAAAAGAATCTATTTAGACTATTTTTGGAATGATGGTCACAATGTTTCAATAAAAAAGGACGCGCCTGTTTCAATCGTGGGCGCCTTTTTTT